CTTTATGCTTTCAGCATTTGGGATCCTGTTTAATTTTTTTTTTCCTGCTCCAAAGTAATGCAGACTTTTTTTTTTATGTTTCATCTAAAAAACTTTATTGCTTTGCSTTTTGCATTTAGGTGTGAGATGTGTTGGAAATTAATTTTTCTTTAATATGGTGGGAAGTAGTGGTCAAGAATTAATTTCTTTGAAGGGTTTATCCATTTGACTCAGCAAAATTTTTTGAAAACTACGTTTTTTTCATCATTGCTGCTCATATGTAATTGATATTGGCATATTGTTTCTAGTTATTGGTGCATTTGGTTCTAAAATTTTAGTTTTGTTTCATCTGTCTTTCTATCCAGGTGTCAGTGCCACAATATTCATTAATTTAGAGTTTGGGTTGGTAAGCTTGTTGGTATTATTATTACTGAAGCTTGTCTTTTTAAATCTTGGCTCTTGGCATTAACTATAAAGTTTAGAATCAGTATATTCTTACTCTAACAGTACATCCTGGGATTTTTGATTGAAGTTGTATTAAATCCATAAATCATCTTGAACAGCATTGACATATTTATAATACTGAGCCTGCCRTTCTACTAAAGCATAATATCTTTTTATTTATGTCTTTTATATTTCTGTGCATGTATGTGTGCATGTGTGAGTTTGTGTTTTAGCTTTGGTCTTYTTCTGTTAGCTTTATTCCCATTTAATATGACATTGTAAAAACCAAAGTTTTTAAAAATTTATTTTCTAGTTACATATTGGAGTTACATAGAAGAAGATTTTTTTTAAATTTTGGTCTYATATGCAGCAATTATTTTGTGATTTCTTGTAGTTTATAATTTTAAAAAAAATTTTTACATATAAAACTATATGATAGGAAAATATTAACATATGTCAGTAATTCTTTCTATGGCTACATAATATACATTTTAAAATTTTAATATACTTTGCATAGTTTTTTGATTCATTAGAGCATGTAGAAAAATAAAATGTTAAAAACCATGAACAAATCAGAAAGATAAAATGTTAAAGAAGTCACTTGCACTCCTTACATTGTCCACTGGCATTCTTTTAACTTTTGAAGATCTCTTTAGACATAGAAATAGCTTTGAATATTAAGTCATATAGGACATATGGGAATAATTTTGAAAATTCTATTTCATTTAATAATATGCCACGAACAAATTTTACATGAAAAATATTTTTCAGTACAATTTCAATTGTAAAATATTCTATCACTGTTATATTCTGTTATTGTTCATGAACTTACTTCTTTTTAAGTTTTTGCTGTTATAAATATTCTTTCATGGAAGAGGCTCTTGGGCAAAGTTTTGTACTGCTATATATTTTTTGGATATGAATATCTGAAGGCAAACCCCTGTAGAAGTAGTCTTTCTGAGTATATTTTTGAAACTTGTTTCCAAACTTGTTGCCTTCTAGAAGTACTGTGTAAATTCTCATTCACAACAAAAGTATACCTAACCTACCCCTCTCTCTCTCTCTCTCTCTCTCTCTCTCTCTCTCTCATTACAAATAAAACCAATAGCTTTTTATAAATTAGAAGTTTTACAAAACTATCTTACCTTTTTTTTGGTTATCATTTTCCTAACACTCTTTTATTCCTTTTACTTACATCTTAAAATTGCAGGATTTTCAAACTAGACTATTTGACAGACTTTTCTACACTTTTACCCAGCAGGAGATAGTCCTCGAAGATTGAGTGTGTGTCTACTGTTGACCCACTGACACATTTTCAGTTTTGTTTTCCTGCATCTGATTGATCTTATTTTTTTAATTTTCTCTGAAAGGTTACCTACCATGTGTTTTAAGACCTTTAAAGATAATTATTCTTGGTTTTTGGCAGATAGATTAGGAGTAATTTTCTAATAGAATTATAGTAGAGCCTTATATATAAAATTTTTGTCTCTGATGACATTATAACTCACATAATGTCAAATGTTATCAAAGGATTTCCATGTAGTAACTGGAGGTCCCAGCCCCTGTTCACTTATTGGAAATTTAAAGATCCTGAAATCACACTGTTAGAACAAGTGGCTGGCTGCTCATTGATTTGTGTTCTTTTTCTTGCAGACTGACAGTTACTCATCCTTTTCAGTGTATCTTTAAACTCATTCAGCTTGAAGTTAATGTGGTTTGTAATTGTAAGTGGCAAGAACAGATTCAAGTTGTCTGAATTGGTGAGAGTTAATTGGCCTGTTAACTTTTTTCAATTCTTTTTCTTTCTCTTCCCCTTTCTTTCTCTTCCTAGAACTTTGCCACTACTTTAGTTTCTACATGTTTTTAAAACAATTTACTGTTAACTTTTTCTCTCACTAGCTTCGTCTCCCAGGATGAGGTAGTAGGAAACACCACAGGCTTGTCGCTGCGATTGTGTTTAAAAGGGCAAAAAAAATTATTCTCTCCCAGCCCCACCCACCCTGTACAACTCTGGAAAAAATGTTGTAGCCACCTCAAATCCTATTTCGGAAGTATAGGTCTTGCATGCAGTAGCTGTAGAACAATCTATTGTTTGTTTGTTTTTAAAGACCTCTTTGTATTCTATTTTTATTCTTTAAAATGCCTCCCACTTTAATCCCCTCACCTCCTACATAGGGCTGTTTTATTGGGCTGAWCAAAGGAGGAGAATCTCTTGAACAAACCTTTTTGTCTGATAAATTAGCTACATAATGCCTAGCTTCTTAATCCTTGTTACCACCCTTAATTAAGGTTCCATTGAAATAATGCCTGTTTGGGCCTTAGGTTTATCACAAAGGAACTGTAATAAAGTTTCATTTACCCAAGTAGCTTTCCTTTTTGTTAATTGTTCTAAGGTGGTATGGTGACAGAAATTATGTAAGTTTGTACATTTTATATAATGTGCTTTGGTGTTCCCCTGGTATTATGATTTACTTATGTCTAAAATATTAGATGATAATAATTTTTATGAGGCACATTAAAGATGTCTGTTCAATCATTTTTTTAACTTTTATATTTTATACATAAAACAAATACCAAGGGTTTTTATTTTTCCAGTATATTTATTTTTTATACTTTATACACAAAACAGAATAATTATTTTCCATACAAAAGAGATAGTTATCTGTGCTCTGCTGAAGCCAAGTAGTTCTTTGATCAACTCTTTTCCCTCTATGGTTATATCCTTTGTGTGTGTTGAGTATTGGAAACTTTAATTTGGAAAAGAAAAACGTGCCGCTTAGGCAGTACTTTCATGGTCACTGTAATGAAGCTGGACATAATTGCATATTTACACTTCACTATAAACCAGTGGCTTTCTAGTATTATTAAAAGTTTTACTTGTTCTTTTAAAACAGCAGCATTTTGTTAACCTTAATCAGAGTCTGACGTGTGTTTCTTCTAAATGGCGTCTGATGTGGTGTCTCTCTTCAGTTCTCTGTGGTTTCCTGTTTTTTTTTTTTTCATACATATAGAAGAGCCTTTTGAGGTATTAAGACTCATATTTTTTCTTTTATATAATAGTACATCAAACCTAAACTTTCTTACAAATACAGCATAGTATTATAAGCCTGTCTCATCTTTTATTTATGTTACTTCCTACAGACTCCTGGAATTTCTCCAGCCCTTAGTGTATCCATATTCCAGCACTTCTTATATATTCTCCCTCTCTATTTTTTAGGACTACAAATCTTATTTCTACTCCCAAAGTGTATACCTTTTAAGGATAGAGATGGTATCTTGTATTTCTACAGTAGTAGATACAGCAGATAGGTGTCCCTCAAAGTGTTGCTCCCCAATCCAGCAGTGTGAACATTACCTGGGAACTTGTTAGAACTGTAAATCTTCAAGCCCTACCCAGGCGGGAAGAATATTTGGATGGGAGATCAGCAAACTTTGTTTATAAGCCCTTCATATAATTTGGATGTGCACTGAAGTTCCACAAACACTGCTATAGATAGTTATTCATTAATATGAAAGTGGTAATTTAGTGGTGTACTTCTTTGGGAGGTTTGGTCTATGGTGAGGCCAGGCAGGATTAACACTTCTGCTTAGGGCTTTTATTTCTCAGGAGACAATGGTAAGGAAAAACCTATAGTTTGATTGTTGGCTACATTTTAAGAGGGTGCACTTAGGTCTTATGCAATCATATTTTGTAAACTACAGTTTAAATGTTTTAAAATATAATTGTTTCTTCATTTCATATATTCAGGAATAGGCATTTGCCATTCTAAAGAAGTAAGCTTACTAAGGAGAGCATAACAGGCTTTACTGATTTTCATTGGAGGGATGAGGGTAGGGAGTGTTGGAAAATGTTCATATGAGGGTATGTTGGGAGGGAGACCTTTGTCTACTACTATCCTGTGCTTTCCTTAATTATTGAAACACATACTATGTTACATATTAAAATTTTTTGATTAATGAAAATGAATTAATAAGTAGATGTATATTTCCAAGAGATAGCCATTATAATTACTGTTTTTAAAAGGTAGGTTTATCATTGCATTCATATGGAAAAATAAATAACATGAGATTTTGTCTCTGCAGAAAACATCAGGGAAGGATTAGATATGTCTTGATAATTTTCCAATTTAATCTTTTGAGATGGTGAATACACATTATTCTTGTGTAATGAATAAAAGATTTCTGCTATTATGCATACCCATAATCTTATAAATATTTTTAAAAAAAACAGAAAGGGAGAATTTAATATTGATTCAGAGTTAAATAACCTTGTATAAATAAATCAAGAAATCATGATACATAGAACTTTGACCCAAATACATGCTTTTGTGTGTTTGTAGAGATATCTTGATAGCTAAAGGCTATTTGAGAGAAAAATTAATTCTTTGTCATATTCTTAGAAAATAAAAATAATCAATTTAGGAAAACCGATTACATGTGACCTGAATTATGACAGTATTCTCAACTCTTTATTTTATTACAAATATATTATTTTTATTTATTTGTGCTGTTTCAATGGAAGGTATATCTTTAATGACCCTTTAATCAATTACATGTTTTGTTTTTTCCTTTTACAGAACCATTGTACCATGGAAAGTATTCAGACAGTGCCTTCATGAGGTTCATCAAATTAGCTCTGGCCTGGAAGCAATGGCTTTAAAATCAACAATTGATTTAACTTGCAATGATTACATTTCAGTTTTTGAATTTGATATTTTTACCAGGCTATTTCAGGTAAGCTGTAGACCTGCTTAATCTATCCGTCCTTTCGTTTCTTCCCTTCTCCCTCCTACGTGTATACATGGATGTGTGTGTTTTTGTACCTGTCTTTGTCTCTCTTACACATATACCCAAATTTATGGAAAAGTCTTATTTTTAGCTGTCTATAATTTTATTCACATAAGTGTTTGATCATTTCTGTAAGTTTAGATGAGGCATTTTGGAGTAAATATGGAGTTTCAGGTCCAGTAAGCCCTGTCAGTTTTGAAAAGACTCATGTAAAGGAGCTTTGTTTGAAACTCCCTATATAGTTTCTCACTTTATTTTGTTCACCTTTCAGCCCAGTTCTGATAGAATGCACCACTGCCGATGGCCATTTGCTAGAGTTGTATCTCAACTAACTTTCTCTCTCTCTCTCTCTCTCTCTCTCTCTCTCTCTCTCACATTGGTTTGTTTTAGTTGTACATGCCAATAGAGTCTATTTTGATATAATTATAAATGCACGGAATATATCTTTTTCTAATCCAATCTCCATTTCCTCCCTTCCTTCTCCCCTCTCTCAACCTCTCCTTTCTTCCCTCTACTCTACTAGTTTCTCTGCCATTTACCCATATTTATCTTTTTTCTTTCATTTTTTTTTGTAATAGTTACTTTTGTAAAAAAAAAAAAAGTTAATTTCTTGTGGATGTACACATGTGCACTCAGGTGTATCCATGTATATATATAGGAATGTTATGTCAGATTCATTACACTGTCTTTCCTTACCTATCTCTCCTCCCTTCACTTCATTCCTCTTTGTCTACTACATCAATCTTTCTTCTTACCATCACCATCCCAGACTTATTTTGGGTTAGCTTCTACATATCAGAGAAAACATATGACCTTTGGCTTTTGGTGACTGACTTATTTCACGTAGTATGATGGTTTCAAGATCCATCCATTTACAAGCAAATGTTAAAAAGTAATTCATCTTTATGGCTAAGTAATACTCCATTGTATATATATACACCACATTTTCTTTATCCATTCATCTGTTAAATGGTACCTAGGTTGCTATATAGCTTAGTTATTGTGAATTGTGCTGCTATAAAAATTGATGTGGCTGTGTCAGTACCTGATTTTAAATCCGTTGGATATATACCAAGGTTCAGGATAACTGGGTCAAATGGTGGTTCTATTCCTAGTTGGTTTTTGTTTGTTTGTTTTTGAGTACCAAGGATTGAACTTGGGGGCACTTGACCACTGAGCTACATCTCTGGCCCTATTTTGTATTTTATTTAGAGACAAGGTCTCACTGAGTTGCCTAGTGCCTCACTTTTTTCTGAGGCTTGCTTGAATTCTCTATCCTCCTGTTTCAGCCTCCTGAGCTGCTGGGATTATAGGTGTGGGCCATCATGCGCAGCCCATTCCTAATTTTTTGAAGAATCTTCATATTCCTTTCTAAAGTGGTTGCAGTCCCACCAGCAATGTATGGGTGCACCTTTTCCCCCACATCCCCTCTGACATTTATTGTTACTTATGTTCTTGATAATTGCCATTCTGTTGGAGTGAGATGAAATCTCAGTTTGGTTTTAATTTGCATTTCTCTTTGCCTATGGCATTCATTAGGTCAGAAGGTGAAGAGTAAAGTTAGAAATAGTAAACTGTTGTATAAAGAAAGATACTGTGATTTTATATTGTTTTAAAAAATGTTTCATTCATTGAATCTTATGAAATGAACATTTTTCCATGTCAACATAATATACTTAATTGATAGGATTTTTCAATTCCTGTATACTATTCCATAGAAACTGTTATGTAACAAAGCTCTCCTGTTGAAAATTCAGATATTTATACCTGTGATTTCCCTAGGATTAACAGCTTTAAGATAGACATTTTTATTCTATTCATTGTTTTACTCAATCCTCTATAATTGTTTACACCTTCTGTGTGTAAAGAAGTGAATAATATGGGCAGTAGTATCATGTGGAAGCTACCTTTTGTTCTTTGCATAACTTCATGTAATTATTTTTAACATTAAGACTCAAAATTTGTCTTTTTTGAGTTTGGCTTTGCCACTAAATGTATATTATTTATGGGATTCAATTCAGGTAGTCATAAAATGAGAGTCCTGCTTAAAATTTTTGTTTTCCTAGTAATATAAATTATATTGTGAGATAAATCAATTAGAAGCCAGAGTTATATTCTGATACAGTTTTTCATTAATTTAACCTAAACCATGATGTATTGTTATTGAAACATGCTTTCAACACATGTTAGAACATAGAATTAGTTTCATTTTTTTTCACACTGTATGAATTTTTCCTCTGATTTACAACTGCTTGGACCGAGCTGGCAAAGACTCAGTGACAGATTTGATGCAAGGAAGCAACATTGCACAGGATTAACTTTTAATTTATTAAATAACTCATTAATATAAGACAGATGAACTCCTGTCAGTATATGTAGAGTGAATTTTACTTTATTAATTTTTTAAAATCAGAATTCTGCCTTGCATTTAGAATAAAAAGTTAGATAAGATACTAAAAAGAGTGTGTTTTGTTTATTTTAAAACGTATAGTTGTTTGATGATTATTCCCTTGTTATGGATAGGGTGGCGGCTTATCATTTTATAATAGAAGCTCTCTTTTCTTTAGAAGTTTCTGATAATTTTACAGAATAAATACATTAAATATTTTTATTTAATATAATACAAGACTCTGCATATAATAGGAGCTTTGCTTCTTCACCATGTGAAGGAAGAAAACAAAAGTCATATTCACACATTAAACCTAATTGCTCAGTTTAAGAAGTATCTATTTTTTGTGAGAAGCTTGGGTAACTTTTTAGTGTGAGTATTAAATGCTAAAATGCCTTGGAGTTATATATTAAAGGCATGAGAGCAACTTAATTTTGGTTAAATGCTTACCCAAACTACTGCTTAATATGAGTACTTATTTTCTGATAAGCTGTTTCACGTTAAATCAGCTTGAGCAACCTTGATACCCTAAGGTTTATGTATCTTGTTTATGTTTACTGAGCTGGGAAAAGAAAGGGGTCCTTTTAAGTACAACTACTGTGAAAAGTTTGAGCTAATAAAACCAAAAAAATGAGCCACGAAATGCTTCATCTCTTTAAAAAAAAAAAAGCATAATTACAGAAGTAGCTGAAAAACTTTCATTTGTTCTATTTACTGATAACTTCTGGCATTTTTCATTTATTCAGATGCTTTGACTAGAAACATACAAGTGCCGTAAAACATGATAAAATTTGTTCTACAAGATTTAACTTTTCCTGATCTTCTATTTTTACATTATTTTAAACGTTGAGGGTTAATTTTCTTAAATTTATTATATTAATTTAGCGTTTATGTTTGCATAGTCTATATAAACATGTTTTATTAATACGGTAACTGTGAACATTTTACTATAGAGTGATACTGGTGGTTAGTGAACTCTTCCAGCTCTGAATGATTGGGGGTGGGGTACTTATCAAATAGAATCTGAAAGGCAGTAAGGTGCATTCAGGATCTGGGGTTTGAAGGAAGGAATTCAGTGTAAGGGTATGAAGGAAGGGGCCAGCAGAAGTCCAGATGAAGATGAGGATTACATAGTGAATGAAAGAAGTAAAAGAGATCTTTCTTTCTTTTGCCTCTCATCATTCCTTACCAGGTATACCTTGAATGAATGCTGTGGCGTCCTTAGAAGTTTCTCACTGTGATTGTGTAGTCATCTTTCTCATTTGGTCTTCTCTTGTCTGCCTTTAACCTTCTCTTTCTCCTCTCCAGGTAATTGAGGGATATTGGGCTAGGCAGGTGCTACAGTCTTGAAGTGGAATGTGAGGATTTGCTTCTCTCTTTCCTTTCTCTGGGTCTGCACTTCACTTCCCTTTCTCCTAGTGTTAGAGAGGACTTGGTCATTGAGAAATGGGCACTAAATTTGTAGAGTTTCAGGATAAGAAAGGAATATTTGGGGGAATATCCTAGACACTTTAGAATGGGGAAAAATAAGAGAGGGAGCAGGTCATTAGTTGTAGTGAAGAATGACGGGGTATGTCTGGGTACATTAGCTGAGGACCCTCTATCAGCTTAAGTAATAAGTCAGTAATTGGTTCTTGAAATAGCATCATTTAGGAAAATGCAGGGACTAGTGTCTTTAATTCACTGCATTAATTTCTATAGTTGTTTTAAAAAATTCATGTAGCTTTGTGTTCATGTGTGTGAAAAAGACTTCCATTAATGGAGAATATGAATTACAAGATTCTTATTCAAAGCACTTTGTTTGCCTTCTTTAAGCCATTAGTTTGAAAGATACTTTAATATGCACACACACAAGTACCACGTGCTTCTGATTCTTCTGAGTGGGTTGTGTTCACAAGAAAAACAGCACAGACTCATTTTATTACATAAATATTTTTGCAATTAGAAGCTGACCCTCTGGATTATGTACTAAGAACTTGTTGTTAAATACTGTAGCAGTTGGCCATAAACTCCAATTTTTTATTTTTCACTTGAATTTTGAGCTATGTACTGTTTCTCTATAAAGTTGAGCATTTTTTAAAACAATTCTTTCATTGTCATATATGGACTTTAATGAGTGTGACTCCAGTATTTGATATTCTTTCTACCATTGTTCTTTGTAAATGGGGGGGCAAAACAAAAATACCTAGAATAATAATTATTTCTCAGTTGTTTTTCTTTTGACATGTGCTGATATTTTTCCAAGTATTGTTTTATGCATTTTCAGTCATGCCTTAAGAAGGAAATTAAAAACATGCTTTTTATTTTTAAGTGCAGAGACACAACCTTTGATGTTAGTATTCTCCAGAGCTCCCTTTTAACCCAATTAGTTGTTTTAGTGAGATGGGGAAATACCCCAAAGATATTTCTTGTTATGTCAAAAAAAGGCTAAAATACTTTTTATTACTAAATCATTCTTTCCCTTGTTATTCTCATCTCAAGAGACATAATCCTTGAAGAATTCTGCCTTGTAAATTGGAAATTTGGTTTATAATAATGAAGAACAAGTCTCAAAACAAACAAAAGCAGGAACTCCTACCAATGATCTTGTCTAGGATAACTGTTTCAACAGCATAAATTTGGCAACATAAATACCTTTTTTTTCTTTTATGTAGAAGATTTATGAACCTGGAACATCAAATATAGTGTGCTGCCAATTTCTTGGAATAAATGTGCCTTCAGCCTCAAAAATATTGCACAGATGATTCATCTACACCCTCAAGCAAAGTTGTCTATCACTGGCTGTCTTTTTTCTCTTGATTGGTAACTAGAGGGACAGCTAATCAGATTAGAGAGAAATTGATGCATTGATAGAAACCAAATATTTATGTGAAAAGTTTTTATATAACTCACTTTTAAACTATAAACCTTTGCTAACTTTATAGCTGTGAAAGGTAAACCAAAAGTGAGAACAGTATCTTGTTACCATGGAAAGAACACTAGTACAAGTCACTATTTAGGGAATCTGTTTAAAAACAATCATCCCTGCCTGATTAGTATGTATCTGATACTGTTAATGGCTTTGGTATCTGTGAATGACTGAGATAGGCATGTTCCTTATCCTTAGCCGGCTTGTGGTAAATGTGTAAGTTTTTCCAAAACACTTAAATTCTATCATATGATTTCTAAGTATAAAATGAGGCATCTGAGTGCATAGTAGTAGCCAAAACAGACAGACTGGCAGATTAGGAATATGACAAGATGTAACAGTTGTTTTAAAAAATTATTTTAGACATGACAATAGAGTGTGTTTTGACATATTGTACATACATGGAATATAACTTACTCTAATTAGTATCCCATTCTTGTGTTGTACGTGATGTGGAGTTTTATTAGTTGTGTATGTATTGTTGTCTGATTCATTCAATGGTTTTTCCTATTACCATCCCATCGTCCCTCCCTTCATTTCCCTTTGTCTATACTTGTGAACTTCTGTTCTTCCCTTGTCCCCCTCAAGATGTAACAGTTTTAAAGAGACATTATTTTTTAGAAAGAAATTTATTGTCTTCATCACCAACATCAATGGTTATAAGTTATGATATTTCCTGCAAAGTTAATTAGGCTTTACATAGATTAGTTTACTTTTGTCAAAAGTTTTCATATTGTTTCCGGGTATTTTTGAACACATTCAATTAGGTTGTATGAGAGTACATATATATAAGTATTTATAAATACATATAGATAGACACACATGCCTTGATGCTCACTGAGAGTAACATTTGGAAAGAGGAAGCGCATGGATATCTGGGGGAAGGAAGTTTAAGTAAAAGAATCAGCAAAAACAAAGACTCTGAGATGACTAAGGGGTTTGTGTTCAGGACAAGAACTGAAAGGTCAGAACGACTGGAGAAATAGCAGAAAGAATAATAACAGTTGGAGACAGAAAGAGAGTTGGGTATCAAACCCTATTAGGTCAGTCCATTAAGTCTTTATGGGCAATTCACAAGGACTGTGACTCTTATTTAAGAAGGTTTTAAACTAAAGAGTATGAGGTTTATGCTTCCAAATGATCAGAATGCTGTACTAAAAATAGACTAGAGAGTACATGGATTTCCTTTTTGCTCTCTGTATTCTGGTCTTAGGAAATTTCTTTTCCTTCTAATCCCATTTCTTTTCTGCAAACAAGAACAAACTATTCCATGTTTGCTAATAGCTAGGAAAGGCTAACACATAAGCTCATATTAACTTCAGAAATATCTGGGGGAATTGCATTAAGTATATGAAGAAATGGGTTGGTATGTAATCAGTAGTTGATATTCTCTAGGTAATCTCCTTCAATTTATTTGTATTTTTAGCCTTGGGGCTCTATTTTACGGAATTGGAATTTCTTAGCTGTAACACATCCAGGTTATATGGCATTTCTCACATATGATGAAGTTAAAGCACGGCTACAGAAGTACAGTGCCAAACCTGGAAGGTAAGACCTTTTACCAATAATATGTAATGAGTTTAAAGAAAAATCCTCTATGATTTATTTCTAAGTAAGGGATGGGGTGGAAGAGCCAATAAAACAAAATGTACTTCTTAATTGAGTCTTTTAAATTGATAGATTGTGTTTGTTCTGAAGTTTCATGTTCATAAAGTGATAGGGAATGGGCTTCTATGTAATTTGATGAAGATTCATTAGTCTTCCCTGTTTGGCTTTTCCATTTAGAATAAGATATTAACGTATTGATTGTTTTGTGATTCTTTTCTTTGTGTACAAAAATTACATGTATAAATTTGAATACTTGAATATTGTGTTGAAGTTAAAATAAATAGAGCAGATTTATGTTTATTATTTTTTTAAAAAAATATTCTTTTAGTAGTTGATGGGCACGATATCTTTATTTATTTATTTTTATGTGGTCCTGAGGATCAAACCCAGTGCCTCACATGTGTGAGGCAGGCACTTTACCACTAAGCTACAGCCCCAGTCCCTTATGTTCATTATTTTAAAGGTGTTTTGAAGACATTTAATTAGGTTCTGTGATAAGTCCATAAAAGTATGTATGTAATCAGTAGTTATACATGTAAGTATACACACAGGTTCAGGATAAATACATATAAGTACATAAGCACATTGTTATAATTAAATCAATTTCATGTCCTGGAAAGCTTTTTCTTTAATAGCCCATGCTGTTTTTATAGCCTAAGCATTTATAATTTATTTTTCAAATGATGACATTGAGTGAGACACACAATGATTGCATGTTTGGTCAAACTTTCTGGCTTTGACCACAAAAGCACACATTATTTAGTAACAAGTCCAGAAAATCTGTTTTCTCCCAGGCTGAGTACTTTTTTCCCTGTCCCATCTAAAAATGAGTTAGGCAAATAGTAGGTACTGAGGCATCTGTGCTGCACCAGGCAATGTGCTGGGTACAGCAGTAGTGACATTGGAGACCTGTCTTCGGGACTGTCACAGGATAGTGGGAGATATCATTCTAAAGTCCATTAATATACTGATTTTCAAATAGAGATTGTTTATTTTCAAAATGAGTTTGGTTTGTTTTATTTTTTTAAGTCTACCTCTTCATTCTAGGATCATTTTTATTTAATTTGTAGTGCATAGGGTGTTTGTCTTGTAACAAAATCTTCTTATGTATAATCCAGTTTTAATTGCTATCATTATCATGTCATAATGAAAATTTCCATTTTATAAAAATTGCTATGCCATAGGAAAAACAGCTGGTGGGACAGAAAACATTGACTTCCATTAATGTCTTCTGATTAGATAGAAGAGAATTGATTATTGTGACTCTGAGAACAGGTCAGATACTTTGTATGTTAACTAGGACTTAGATTTAGTTTTATTCAAACTTCTCTCATGACCATATTTTTGTATACCTAGAGATGAAATGGGTAATCTCTCGCAATTGTCATAAGTGTGATGCGAATATTTAAAATGTGTTTAGGGAAACTCTTCATGAACATATCAAATACCTTTGGTAAATATTTGCTTTGCAGGATATGTTTAACTGGTCTTTCTCCTTTGTTTTGTATTAAGGAAAATAGTTGGGTCTATTCCAAGGACATTTGTGTTCCAACTAACAAACTATTAGTTACCTGATGAAATATGTTTGAGGACTGGGGGTATAGCTCAGTGGTAGACCACTTGTGTAGCATGCACAAGGTCCTAGGTTCAGTCTCTAGCAGCAGGAAGAAAAAAATATGTTTGAGAATCACAGGATACATCCCTTGGATAACATTTAGTGTTAAAGAATGACATGAACTACCCTGCAAACATAAAACTATTTCATCTGATTGTTATTCATGCCATTGTTGGAGAGTAATATGCTAGAAATACAGCAAAAGTTCACTTCATGAAGCTGGAAAGAAGTAGCTACCAACAAAAAAGATCAGCAGCAAGTGATATTAAGAGTTGTGCAAGTGAAACTGTAGAGCAAAAAAGTTCAGAGAGGAAGAAATTATTCCAAAAGCCATATTGTTGCTCCCACCAGTTTTTACTAATGCTATAGTCTGCCCACATGAATTGCTTGAACTTCTGTATAATCAGTTTTAGAAACACCATTAGTTATCTCCCAAATTATATTTTATAGTGACTTTTTATGATTTTATGGTTATTCTCATAACATCACAACCATTATTCTGGGCAGAATTATTTTATCTGATTCTGATTGAGGATGGCAATAGTTGATAGGTTACTATCTTGTGTTCAGGCTCTCTAGGGAAGTATTTTTTAGACTGCTTTGACAAAGGTCCTTTCTGATGGTTTTATCACATGTGACGTTCCTAATGTTAAAAAAATCACAATTTATTTATTTCTTTAAAAACTCAATTTCCTTGATAGAGAACTCACATTTTACCATTAAACATACAACTTAATTAAAGCCCATAACTGAATCGCCATTACAAATGCTAAATTACATTTGTAAAATTTTTTTATATAGTACATGATTCATTGATTAGGAAATTAAGGTCTTATTTCTCTTATTTCTTACATTTATATAGTAACTCAAATGTAGCTAACAGATATGGAAATCATGGTGGCAAGGTTGAGTATAATGCACATAAATAGAAATTATCCAAACTGAAATAGACAGCTAAGTGAATAAATAAATGATGAATAAATAAATTTAGAGTCAAACTAATGTCTGCTTTCATTTGGAGATTAATTTTAAGGAATTTGTCATTCATTTGATTTATGGTTTTGAGGTGTTTTGACTTTCTATTGAAAGATATTTAACTTGGTGGAGTTAAATGGAAAATTTGAGCTTATCCAGATTGCTTTTTCATTAATATACTTCTACGCTTTTGAGATTCATTTAAAGATGAATCACTGAAATGTGTGAAAGAAAATGTATTATTTTAAATCAAGTTATTTTTCAATGAAAATGGATAATTTTGATGTTTAAATTACAAAGTAATATGTTGAATTCAACAGTAGAAACTAGTTCAGTTTCTGAGTTGAACAAATTAAATTTACTTATTTTATTGTTACTTTCCAAAATTAATTCATGTCACAGCCATTTTATACCAGCAGCATTTTCACAACAGTATCCTTGATGGTTATTGTCATAAATCACTTGGTAGTTTTAGAACTTCATTTTTTTCTCATGAAACTCTTGAGATATTTAAATGAAAAGAAATGAGTATCAGTGTCATACACATCAATATACAGAGAAGTATAATGGTGTTAAAACATGTTAAAAGAAAATTTTAGCAGGAATTCTAAATCATTCTGTGTATTCTTTTGCTTAAAAACAAAACAAAAAAAAATTCCTTAGTTGTTGTAACACTTTTTGACCGAACTTGGACATAATTTTCTCTTTGTTTTGTAGCTACATTTTCCGGTTAAGCTGCACTCGACTGGGACAGTGGGCCATTGGCTATGTGACTGGGGATGGCAATATCTTACAGACCATACCTCACAACAAGCCTTTATTTCAAGCCCTGATTGATGGCAGCAGGGAAGGATTGTAAGTATAAGAAATGGGAATCAGGGTGTTTAAAGTCCATCAGATGTGAAAAGTAGTTACTGCCTAGTGATGAAGGACCAGAGAAGGAGGCTGGCAATCTGTTTGCTTTTTAATCTCAAGACTTAGAAATGGATATTTCTTAGTTCTTTTTGTTTCTCTCTTTAAATAGTCATGTTAAGGCAGCCTAGTTTTTTAGTCTAACCATATGCTGTAGCAAACACATTCTAGTATCAAATTACATGTTTATATATTTCATAGGAAAAATCAAGACCTAATAGGACTTGTCAAATGGATGGTGAATATTAAAAGTAAATTCTTGCAAATAATTAACTCTCCTTGTCTCATGTAAAGCTAAAATTCCTAGTCATACTATTTCTTTTGACTGGTGGTGCTGGATTTTCCTTTTCTCCTTCTTAGCCTTTTCTCCTCCACCTCCTTTCCTTTTCTTCTTTGTATACCTTCCTTTATTCACACTAATAATGAATTCATAGTTCAAAATTATATGTTAATAGCTAAATTCAGTTAATTTCATGCTATTCTCTTCTAAAATATAAAATCTAATTCTTCTCCTTTGTCAACTAATGACTTTTCTCCCTCATAGAACATCTTGACAATCTATTTGGCCCATTATTGAAAATATATCTTGGTTCTTAACAATTTTAGTCCTGTGTTCTCCTCTTTATGCTTGTATCTCAGTGTCACTTCAGCACACTATTTTTACCCCTTGCCTTGCTGAGTAACTTGGAAATGTGTGTAGTCCAACTTGCAGCATCAATTGGGATGGACTGTGGTGGAAACCTGGAAGGAGGTAGTCTACCGAGTTAGCAAAGACCAAATGATTTGAGTTTTCCCTTTTCCTAAGTTATTACTAAAAAACACAAACAGACATCAAAAAATAAAAATAAAATAGACAAAATAAAAAATAGAACTCAAGGGGTCTATGTGAAGAAAACAAATGTATTTTTTTAAAAGCTACAAGTTTTCAAGACATTAGTTATGTAGTAATTGCACACAGCAAGTTGTGGGACCAAATGTCTCTTTCTCTCTTTTTTTTTCTAGTTTTCATAAATATGCTATTTTTACCTTGCCTCCAGTGCATTAAAGATTCATATATGTAGCCTTTGATTCACTATGATTCTAGCTTGCTTTTTTAGAAAATTCACTTGAAAGTTTTAATTCATAAAGAGAATAGAGTGGGCCAATCTGTACATAGAATAATATTGATATTCTCGTTTGTATTTTTATTATTTTTCATCTATTTTTCAAAGTCAATTAAAAAGTAACAAATTGTAATATTTATTCAGTATAGCAAAGTCCCTAGATTCTTATGCAAGTTAATATTCACACACACACACACACACACACACACACACACACACTTGGGAATCTTCAGAGGGACTGGCTAATTGAATCCAAACTTCAAAAGTAGACTAGGATAAAATAGATTTTTGTATGTTAGTTAGAGGTTTTCTGAGGATCAGTAAAACGACAGGATATCATCTGACCCACTATCATCAAGGTCAGCTATTTTTCTTTCTAGTTAATCTACCATAGTATGATATATTTTGATCAAGAGGTTTATTTTGATGATCAGCCAAGATTTCTTCACTGCCATTGACAGTAGCTCATCAGCAGTTCCCTGGTAGGTCAGAAATCTTAGAGTTGCCTCCATGGGGCAGATAGAACTGTTTATTCTTTCCTCTGGCATCCTTGTTTTAATTTTTGCAATTTTTTATTTCTGATTTTTTCCTACAATTTCTGTATTTTTGAAGTGTGATAAAATATTTCACAATAATTCCTTAAATGGACATTTTAGAATGTGAAAATCAGATTGCTTATCAGCTTTTGCTTATTATTCCTCATTTAATATTTGATTAATTTTTAAACTGATCCCCATAATAACACTTGAAATTTGGGTCATATGCAAATGTAATTAGCTCCTTTCCTTAATTAAATAAAAAAATGATCTCACTGATCTGTCACTTATTGTATAAGAATTGTCTGTATATTAAGTTCATTTTTCTTAGTTTTCTAGGGTAATTCTAATACTTAGTTGCCAACATGTTTTATAGATTTTTCATTTAAAGATAAGCATTTTTTGATTATGTCACAGAATAATTTTGTATAGTTTTAAAATATTTATACCTGTACTATTTTATTTTTAATCTTTAAACCCTCGAATTACTATGCTATTAAACAGGATAAATCATAATATAATAAATTGATGATATCTAGTGATAAAATTACCAGATTTTTTTTAGCCAGAAATATTTGCCAACATAATAACCTTGACTTTCCATCAATTTCTGAATAATGAGTAAAAACTTTTGAATTAACACAGGACGAAGGTGTCATTATGGGTAACTTAGTTCAGATTTCCATTCTCTGTGACAATAAAACCTTCTGCCTATACAGCATTCTGTGTTTATGGCTTTATTGGAGTCAGTGAAAGATAGATCTGTAAAACAGTTTATGATTTTTAAAAATATGTATATGTGTGGGCAGGTGCACGTGTGGCTCTATTAGAGAAAATAGAAGGTGATTCAGAAGAATGAGACTGGGAAACTATAGGAAAAGAAACACTACAGAAGTGGTCTAAGGACTTGTAGGAAAGTAATGACATTATTTCTGTTTTTCTCTTCATATGATATTAAACATGCTATAAAATGATATAATTAACATTCCCTTGGTTTCAGATGAAGGATGTATTAATTGTAAATAAATGTATACTCATACTTTTAGAATAGAATGTAATTGATCAGTAAAATAAATTTTTAATTTTTATAAAGAACACATAATAGAGGTATTTAATTGAAATGATTGCTTTAGTGGCTGAGTCTTTATTATGTATTTGTTATATGGGTGTCATTTCTAGATTTTAAGTCCCCTAAAAATGATTTGCAATATTATGAAAATGAAAGATTTTATTGATTGGCTATAAAAAAAGGAAGCATGAATATATGTTTGAATATGGAAGATTAAATACACTTAAATATAATGAAAACTTGTATATTTAAGGTAATAAAGTTTCTGTTTAAATCCAGTTATCTTTATCCTGATGGGAGGAGTTATAATCCTGATTTAACTGGATTATGTGAGCCTACACCCCATGATCATATAAAAGTTACACAGGTAAGAATGATTTCTGGAAATATAATTAATAAGTATTTATAATACCTTTGAAATAAATCAGAATTTCTTTTTATACTATGGCTAAAACTGTGTACAAACATGGAATCCTAAGAGTGAAAAGAAATTACATAACTTTGCATAAAAATTCAGCTTTAATGCTTTTGCTTATAATACAAGATTGACATTTATACAGAGATTGATAAATCCATAGGCAGGCAGACACATGTCAGGAGATAACCTCAACAAAGAAAAATATAAAAATAGATTAGAAGAGTTTTATGCCATGGTTTTTAGAGTCAAGAGTTTTATGCCATGGTTTTTAGAAGACGATTGGAGTTCATGAAGTTTTCCTAAGTCCATTGTTGGTAATCTCATAGATAATGAATATATCCTCCCACTTATGCACAAGAGTTCCATACAGCACGATATTCACAGTAGGATTTTTCATAAAAGTGAAAAATTACAACATATCAAAGTGTTCGATAATAGATAACTATGGGAATGTGATGTTTTATTTATGTGAAGTTATCCAGATGGCAGTGTAGCTGTACATACTTGCAAGAGATCTTCTGCATCTTGTTTTATTAAATAAAAAATCCAATCATGTAAAGCTCAATTTTTTTGTAAAACTACAATATGTAAGTTCAAGTTTTGTAAATAAATAAATAAGAAATTATATATAAACGTACAAATAAGCATTCCAAAACCACCAAATTGGTAATGGTGTTTAGCTAAGGAGGAAAATAATTGTGGTATCAGTGAGAGATTGAAGTTGGATGTGAATATTTTATTTTGTAGACAGTATAATATAAAATATTTTGTATTTTAGATTTGTTTCTATAATAAAAAAGACCAATGAAAAAATGAAATCAGAGAGAAATCTTTTTTTCATAATAAATTACTTTATTTGTAATTCTCCAGGTTTCAGTCTCTTTAGTCTTGATTTTATTAAGTGAATCACCTTGTTGACATGTTTTGTGTTCAGCTTGCATATAGCTTTTATATTTATTATATGATTGCCATTTTAAAATTATTTAATGATTTTGTAGTGTATTTTCTAGTGTGTAAAAGGATACCAATCACAGAGAAAGATATTTCCCCTTTATGAAACCATTATTTAGAAATAAATCTTCAGGAGTAATATCTTTCCCTTTAGTTATTCATAAGTATCCTTACTCCTAAGGTTGCATTGAGTTATGCATCTCTGAATAACCTTATTATAATTATTTTATAGTTATAAACCTGTTGTTTGGATAGTCATAATCACTACCTACACATATCTATTACTTCAGAAATGTCAGTAATTTATAACTGATACTGGATTCCTTTGGATAATAGTTCTTTTCTATCTTTATCCATTCTGTCATATTTTTCTTTAATTTTCCAAATTATGTATATTCTCACATATACATACATCATAGTAGATATGATTTTTTATATTTGTGTGTGTGCATATATAATTATGTCTGTGTATGTGTGTGTAAATATAATTTAATCATGTAATCTCTTTTAGTAGATTAAATAATAAATACTGCCATGAATTTAATCTCTCTCAGAGTAGAGTTCATTGTAGGCACTTATTGAACTGAAACATTGCTTTATACAGATTTTTACTTCATGATTTGTTTTGTCTCTTATAAGCAACTTGTAAAATACTTTCTTTGCATTTACCAGTCTATCTGTATCTTCTTTGTGACATAGATCTTTTCAATATTTGAACATTGAGAAATAGCTCCAATTAATGTCCTAAATTTAAAAACCTAGTAATTAATAAACCAGTTTTCAATTACTAAGTGACTATTTTTTTTTACATTGTTAGGGAAAATGAACTTTCAAGTCAGACATGTAAGATAAAATTTGAGAAAAATAATTGAGGCTTACTGAGACTCAGGTATTTTTCTTAAATTCAACATATGTTATACATTGGAGATTATGTGAAAGAGTAAGTACAGTCACAATGTGTAGGGTGCAGGAAGAGCAGATGTCAATGGTCTTTTGATTCTGAGATTTCTAAAGATATGTAAAAGTTATAAAATTTAATGGTCATCCAGAATGGCTTTTTTTTTCAATTTGATAGTGAAATTAGATGAGCATGTTGCAGTTACAAAGAAAATAAAGTCATTTATGTTGCCACTTTAAAACCCTGTGTTTTATCTTTTTGAAGCACAATGGCTGTTGAAATGAGTCTCCTCTTATGGGAATAATAAGAAACCTGAAATAATCCAACGTATTAAAAAAAACTTATAAAATTTCTGATAAAAGCTCAGATGCTTTAAAAATTGATTTTGTGGACCAAATATTGATTATCAATTTAAAACATGTCTTAAATGGTCACATTTCTGACAGGATCAAGTGTGAGATATTTACTGTAAGTTATTTTACTTGAGAAAATTTAATATTAATGGTTCATACTAGAAATGCATTAACACTGCCTCTTTTCCACCCCCATATTCCAGGAACAATATGAATTATATTGTGAAATGGGCTCCACTTTTCAGCTCTGTAAAATTTGTGCAGAGAATGACAAAGATGTCAAGATTGAGCCTTGTGGGCATTTGATGTGCACCTCTTGCCTTACAGCATGGCAGGTATAATCAAGGTTCATTTAGCAACCTATATGTCTTGTTTATATTCCCTATGATATTTTTCTTTCAGTTTCTTCCTCTTACAATTCAGGAAATAATACTATAAGTGCTTTATTTGAAATGATTGTTTTAGAAGGCTCATGTTTGAGTTTATATGATTGATTTTTTGCTATTCTATAATTATGTTTCTTTTGCATGTAAAACAATTTTTTATTAGTTCCTAAGTAGTAGTATTTCTTCAATACAATACATTAACTTCAGGATAACACATAGATATTATCAACTAACCATTTTTATTACTGTAGGTCAGATTCTACTCACAGATTGTGAAGCAAAATAAAGTATAGTAGATAAATCTTATGTTGATATTTTCAACCAAATTTCTTTTATCCGGAGGAGAAGTTACTGTCTTACATGTCTTCCATTTCCTTCTAGGGCTAAACTAGGACTGTCAGAGAAAAACATCTCCCAAACATTTTCCACCACAACAGGCTTTGAAATTTCCAGTCCATAGAAGCCAAATCTAAAATGAACTCCATATCTATAGGCAGGCATGTGATGAATATAAATTAAATTTATTTGATGCTTTATAATAGGGCCTAGAAAATAACTGGTTTGCCTGAGGACTTTTTTATCTTTCCTTAACTGTAATAAAAGTTGGGGACTTTAAAATGGAGTTTTGAAGCTGGGTGCAGTGGCTCACATCTATAATCCCAGCAATTTAGGAGACTGAGGCAGGAGGATTGTAAATTCAAGGTCACAAACTTAGTGAGATTCTGTCTCAAAATAAAAGAAGTTTTATAAAGGGCTGGAGATGTGGCTCGGTGAAAAAAAAAAAGAAAAAGAACTTTGGACCGAATTTCCTGCCCAGTTTTGATTGTTTGGAAAATTCATCAAATATTTTGAACAAATTTTTGCAACTGATGTTTAGCATAGTTATATTAAAATCAGAAAAATGGGGTTTAAAAAATACAATTTTTAAATCTTTAAAAAAAGTTTGCTGGTGAGTGTACAATTGACATCCCTATTGAGCCATCTTAGTCCTTGATCATCTCTCTCCGTCCCTGGACATCTGCATTATATGAGGAAGGCTAGGCTGTGAGGTTCATACAGGAAGTGGGCAGCCTCAGACACTGGTGCCTGTTGAGCTCTTTATACTTGGTAATAAAATATAATGATTTTCATGTTTTCATAGTCTTTAAAAAGGGCCTCCGTTAGTTGGTGTTGGTGTTGTTGGGGGAGATTTTTAAAAATGGATCAGGAAAAAGAAGAACTTGGGGGAAAACTATAATTGGTTGACATTTTCAAACCTTTCTGAATTCAGACATCTTTGCTAGCTCAGTAAAGTTGTTTAATGTCCCACACTTCTCTCCTTCAATATTATTTTGGTTTATATTTTACCTTATGCTTTTCTCAATATTCTTCTCTTTATTTCTTATTGTCCCTTCATTATTTTGATGTCTTTTGCCTACAATAGGAGAATGTTGTAGGAGGCTCAGTGTGGCATCAGAAAAAAATTATTCTTATATATACTTGACTGCTATTTAATTTAAAAGTAATAGTTCTGTAAACTTGTGATATCTTTTTAAAACTGACTTCCAGTACACTTAGGCATGCTGGAAGAAGACAAATCATCAGTTTGCTAGTGTGTCCCAAGCATTTCGGTAGACGATATTACAGAGTTGTTGTTGGCTGTGTGACTACCAGGAAGGGACTACTGAGGACTGGTGTGCCAGATACCCTCTCAGTATGTTAGGATGCGTGTTGAACTGGCAGATGCCAGATTATATTTGTCATCCCTTTGAATTGTGGTGTAGTGGTGTGATTCTTACAGTTACAGAGATGCTAAACGTTTTGTATTTTTCTCTAAAGAAAACCAGAATTTGAGACTTGTGGGGATTCCTAGTACTGTCTTCCTCCATGTAAGGCTCGTGTATTTCAGCCAGTTGTTTCGGGCTCCAGTCTTACTGTTATACAGTTTATACGTGTGGCAGGAATTCTTTAATTTAATGCTATGCTTAGTATCCAGGGGTTAAGTAAGTTAAGAATCAAACTTCTATTAGCTTGGCAGAAATTTTGGATTAGTAAAATTTGTTGTTTAAAACATTGTATAATACATCTGTTTACCTAGTAGCCCAGGGTAAGTTTAAAATATAGCTGAGTTTAAAAGTATAGTGTAAAAGTAAAACAATAAAATTATTGTTTTTAATTATGTATACTTCCTGAAAGAAAATGAATCTTTCTTTTAAATTTCTGGGATCATTATTATTTATTTTATTTGTCAAGTTTGTAAATAATTTGTAAAAGGTCTGCTACCTACAAAAGATATTTCCCAGTTGTTATTGCTGTACTATTAATGTTCCTCCCTTTACATTTCTTGATTCACATTGTTCCTTTTCATATTGACTTAGTGACCCTATATGAAGATTTGTCCAGTAATATTTATGAATAGTTAACATTTGCTATTTCCCTTTTTTACATTGAAGTGCTTCTCATTTTTACTTTTAGAATTTGGGGAAGTGCATAAATTGTTAAGCATTGAAAGCAGTGTCTAGGTTAAATTTTAGCAGAAGTTATATGAAAAAATAATAACAAAATAGTACTTTAGTAACTGAAGTCATAAAATATGATAAATTCAGAAGTGTTCAAAAGGTTGAAATAAGTTATGCTACTATAGAGTAATGTTATATCATATTGATCATCATTTTACATAGTGGTAGTTAATCAGTACATATGGATTGTATGCTAGATGTAAAAAAAAAGAGGTCTCATATTTTAAATAAAAAGATAATTTTGTAGATCAGTTGTGAAAAGCCTTATAATCTCTTTGTTCAGAAAAGTCCAGTTCTCTGCTGAGAAGTATCTATGATCTTTCAGAGGCCTTTTATCATGCTCTTGATCTGAGAAGGAGTCTTAGAAATTGTAGGCCTCAGATCCATCTGTTCCATGCAGTAGCCATTGTGTGATTCCCTTCAGCTTCCCACATTTTGATTTTTTCCACATATATATTTGAACCCTGTTATTTACTTGTATTGTTTGCAATATTGCTGGCACTAACCCTGAGGTAGGTTTCTATTTATTTATTTATTTTTTTTACACCAAGAAACATCTACAGTGATTTCAAATTCAAGTTTTTCTTCTTCCTTATTCCTAAATACAGTTGTTCTTTGTAGGCAAGGTTTGAGAATTCTAAAGTGGTATTTCATAGTCTCTATATCTCATTGGGATCTTACTCGTCAAGGAAGTTTCAACTTTTGAAAATTTCACTTTTGCATAACCCAGCCATTCTACATTTACATAAGTTTTCACACATTGGTGCTTCCTGCGAACCAGCAGATTTGTTTTGGCAGTTTTCATGTCATTGCATGAACGGCAATGTTTTGTGATCATTTAAGCATGTTATTGTAAAAAGGTCCCTGTTATTTAATCAAAAGTCTTATAGAATTAATTCAGTTAAAAACATTATATATTCTAAAAACCTCATCTGAAGCTTCATTCTGGGGCTTACTGGAGTTAACCTAAATGATGATGAATGTGTGAATGAAAAGAACAAAATCATAGAATGTTTCTTTGGTTCTGCATTGTATTATCAAACATTGTATGCTTGTAGATGTAGGGGGAAATGTTTTGGGGATAAGGGCTCTGAATGTGGGTGCAGGTAACAAGGTCTATTGCTCTTTTTCAACTTTTCTCTTATTCAGAAATAATGGAATACTATGTTTGCTGATGTTAAAGTCAGTTTTGTTATTTGATTTATGTGATTGTTTGTATTTTCTATTAGAGAAAAGATTAAGTTTTCAAGTTAAATTGTATAGAGGGATAATCTGTTGTTTTGCTTACCCTAATTGGTTTGATAGAAGCAAATCTAGATGGTTTCAATCCTAATTATCTAAGATCTCAAATTTATTTATTTATTTAGGTAACATTCATGGGGCAGCCTCTGAGTCCCCCTTCTGTACTAATCTGTGACCTAAAAGGAACACTCAGGGACTGTTCCTACCTTCAAGAAGTTAAAATTCAACCTGAAAGTTTTATAAAGGGGGTGGTATTAATAATTATGTAAAGGAGTATCCTGTTATTCTTCAAATTTAATTTTGGATGGTAGGCATTTTTCGTTGCTTTCTGCTACTTTGGTTGACGCATGCTGATATGAAAATGATTTTAAAGGCTGCATGTCTGCCAAGAAGCTTATGATAAATCAGTCAGAATCCAATAGGAAATATTAAACCTTGACCATAAAACATAATGTGTTCAGCCAGTGTGCATTTTTATCAAGTCATTCTTCACCAACGTTTTCTTCCATTTGATGCCCTACTTTGGTTTAATTGAAATTCATTAGAGACTTAAATTTTATGTAATTAACAGAAAACCTAAGAAATGCAGGGTAGCAGTGACAATTAGTTGTTACAGGCTGCAAGTGGTTACTCTTTAATTGCTGTCATAATGGCCCATTAGTCATGCCCCTGAAGAGGTGTCAGATGCTTTTTTCTCCTTCTGAAACATCTGTGTTATTTAATAAATTGAATAAGCATGCGAGAGTTGGCCACAGAATACTAAGTTGAGTAATCACCTTTCCAGAGGCGTCCTTTGCAGCAGCTTTGCTCTGGGTGTGGTGTTGCTGCTCTACCCTTGGTTAACAAAGCTTGGTGAGTTTCCTTTCACTTCCACATGTTAATAGGATATTAACAAAACATTTATCTTTATAGCCTTGAGCTTCTCCACATTTTCTTTTGTGCAGTGATGTTTTATTTAGTGATATTTTATTTAGTGATGCTGCAGAGTTATCACATGAGGTATAATCTAAAGAATTGTTTGGTTGTGTTTTTTCAAGGGATCTAAAAAATGACTTCTGTGCTTGTGAATGGCAGAAACTAAGTACTTCAAGTCTCCCTTCCAAAACTAAAATGACTACCTTTGTTAAGTGAGGCTGTGTTTTGAATTACTGCCAAGAATGTCAATTCAATTAAAAGTAAAATTGTTTTGTTTTTTTAACCAGTAATTTT